TGCAGATAAGAATGGGGAGATAAGATAGACCAGAGTTCAAATCAAAGGTATAGGACCATGATCAATTTAAAGAATTCTCTTAAACCTGTTTCCTCAGTAAGGAGGAGGAGATACCTCAGATGGTTATTAATGAGGATTTAATAAATTGCTTGTAAAAGGTTAGTGCAGTGACTGACTCAAGAATGTAACTTTTTTTTTTTTTTTTTTTTTTTAAGATTTTAAGAATGCTAGGGGTCTATGAAAAGTTGTAAAAAGATTGCTGGGAGAATGGTTGAGAAGCACAATTTAGGAAACAGATTAGGAATGAAAATGGGGAGGGAATGTGAGTAACCCTAGAACTTTGTGCTTGAGAGATTCCAGAGGGTGCCTAACTCCTAGGTTCTGAGTGGAATTCTATAGCGGATATCCTAACCCCTCCTCTAGTAACCTTGGCTTTGTCTTGATAGTGATTTCTTTATTTACCACTGCTTTTCTCCCCTTTATCAAGTTTGTGTGTATTTACTGTTGCCAAATATTCTACAAACCTGTTACTTTCATTTAGAATTTATTTAAGAGATTAAAAGGAATTATTTCTTTTTGAAATAAAGGATGTTCCATTTTTATGATTTCGTTTAAATTCCTAAATTTCACTTTGGGAAGAGTATCACAGAGGATAACTCTGTATCACTGATATAGTGTGATACTTCTTCACAGTATATCAGTAGATTGTGTCAGTGGGCTTGTGATATTAATTTGTCCTGTTATGGTGGTGTTAGCCTAAGATTCTTTGTGAAGGTATTATCTTCTAGGTTTCTGCATTTTAAACTTACTATTTTTCCCTTGTGATTAAGGAGAATTAGGATAGGATTGCACAGTCTTAAAATATCTTCTCCATTCATTTTATTCTTTGAGTTATATCCAATACTGTCATTATTTGTTTGTCAAATTGTTCTAGATCTGGCCATTTAGAGCTCTTCCAGGTTGGAAGAGTTCTTTTGATTTTTTTTTTTTATTTGAGTACTTTTTTTTTACTTTCCAGTACCGTCAATTTGATCTTTTAAACTAGTTTTTTTAGATGACGTAGATGTCTTCTTCCATTTATTGAATTTAAGAGAAAAAAATCTTTTGCAATATTTTTTCTCTCTATTTCTAATATCCCTGTGCTAGTCACACTAGGCAGTAAAATAGCAGTGATTCAGTCTAGATTTTTTTCTTAAATTTTGTAGATTTTTGCATAGGGTGTATCTACTCACCAGAGAGAGATCATCGTGCCTCCCCCCCCCCCCCGGGGGGGGGGGGTTTGTGGCTCGGCACTCTCTCCTCGGGTTGTTTATGGCCATGCTCAATCCCTTCTCCATTCTCCCCTCAAGATTTTGGGCACATATGTATACGTGCCTAGTGTGATTTCAAGCTGCTGGGTCCAGGACTTGAACTGTAGTTGGCCATTTGGGAATCCAGTGCTATAATCACCATACCACCTGCTGATGCTGATTCAATCTAGATTTTGATTAAAAATTAAAATAGAAGATTATTTTTTGATATTGCAGCTCCTAATTTTCCTTGGCAAAATTGTGTTTAAACATATATACAAAGGTAGTGCTATAGATGAGAATTTATAATGTACGTTGCTAATGTAGTAGTTAAACTTTAATTCCAAAAAACAATTATAAGCTCTTGTGACACACAGTAAGTTTCATTTGGTGACTCCTGAACTAATTTTTTTGAATAAGATATATTCAACTAGATAGCCAACTGCTAAGATTTTTCCATTAAAGAGTAGGTATTAATCTCATATATATCCAGTGAATTTTTGCCCTTGAAATTATTTATCAAGCTTTTGTAATTAAGTTTTCTATGTCTATCCTGTTTATTATTTTAACAATAATGGTTATTTAATGAAATATATATATATTAGGGGTATTTGAAAGGTTTAAGGAAAAATATGAAAAAAAAAACTGTGAATTTCAAATTTTTTTTACATGCTTAGTATGTGCTCAATAAAGGTTTCTCTGGTATTATGTAGTCAATTCCAAACTTTCGAAGTATCCATTTTTTGTTTTCCTTTTGTCTTTATACTGGAATTGTCACCAGATTTTTGTCAGGAAAGTGAGTGCTGTATTTAGATATGAGAGGTGGGATAAATCAGAGGAAAGGTATTGGGAGAACTCTGGATTTTTTTCTTAATTACAAATACACCAGTCAGACTTCTCCAGAGAGACAGAACCTATTTGGTACATAGGCTATCTCTCCATCTCTCAGTCTGTGTGAGATGGGGCTTAATAAGGTAATTGACTCGTGATTATGGAGGCTGATAAATGCCATGGGAGGTCCTCTGCAAACTGAAGAACCAGGAAAGTCCAAGTCTGAAGGCCTCTGAATCAGGAAAGTTGATGGTATGACTCTCAGTAAAAGGCTTGAGAACATGGGTGGTCAGTGGTATAAGTCTCAGTCAAAAAGCCAAAGAACTTGGGGTTCTTATGTCCAAGGAGAATAATTCTGGCTCCAGGAGAAAAAGATAGTTTGATTTCCTCTTTTTGTTCTCTTCAGGGCCTCTGCTATTTAGATGGTGCTGCCTACATTGAGTGAAGACAGGTCTTCCTTACTCAGTCCACTGATTCAAATGCCAATCCTGGCTGGAAACCTCCCATACAAATGCAGAAATATCTCTTTGTCAGTGCATGGGTGTCTCTTGATTCAATCAGGTTGACTCAGTTAACCAGAACAACCACTTTTGTGAATGAGCTGGTGTCACCTAGAATATACATTTCCACAAAAACAAAAACAGGCAGTGGCTTTTTGGTTTATTTTTTTCCCAGCTATCCACTTTGAAATTTTATTCTTTTAGTCACAACAGGCTTTCCATTTAAAAATATTCTCTAAGTGTTTTAACTTGCTGGTTACATACATAATTCTTTTAAAAAAATTCAATATAATGCCTTACTGTACTATGTAATAAACAGTTTGCCACAACTACTCAGGTAGGTGCAGTAAAGTCACACTCATGAATCTCTGCCTCACACCATTGTGGAGCACAAGAGCTCTAGTGTAGCTGGATTAAGGTGTGCTGTTTTGGGGATTCAAATACCACAGACAGTATAGCTTTTGGATCCCTAAATTTCAGAAATGAAGCAAAGCTGTTGTCAAAGCTTAATAAAGAATGGAGGAAAAAAAAATCTGTTTAGCTGCAGTGGTGCATGCAGGGGGATGCAAACTAAACATGCTGAGCGCAGTAACCCAATGCCAGTGGTCTAGTTAGCTGGGAGCTCAGGCAGGATGGAACAGGGCAGGACATTGTCAAAAACACCCCCCTTTCTGTGCACAGTCTCTCTCTCAAACACACACACACATTGTAACTATCATTTAGAGACTAGATGGACTCTTAGAAAATTCAATGTATGTTGAAACCATGCAATACAGAGTATTATTTAACAGTCTGTATATTCATTGTAATTTACAAATTTACATTTTTTTTTCCTAATTGTGTTGAATAGAGTCTAGGCCTAGGTAATTATGATTCTTTTATTGTTTTCGGTATGTGAATCTGGGGGGTACAAAATTAACTGCAGGATGTTGAGCATACCTAGCCCCCCCCCCCAAATGCTATTAGCATCACCTCAGTCACTATGACAACCAAAATGTCCCTGGAAATGTCCAAAAATTTTAAATGCTTCCTGAATAGTGTTATGGTTTATTGAGAATAGCTAACTTAGAGGGGAAAAAAATGAAACAAAACCATTATTTACACAATAAGATATTTCTAACTTTTGGGTTGTTGGAAAAGTTGTGATGCATTTTTGCCTAGAAAGGCAGAAAAATGCATCATGGCTTTTCTGACAGCCCAATAGAAGAGCAAGTGTGACATTACTTATTAGTACCTTCTATTGGAGTACCCCATGAATCAGCTTCTAAACTCTTAAATATTTTCTTAAATATTTCTATCAGTTTGAATGAAGAGAATTTCAACTTTTAAGTGCTTGAAGGATTTGGGAGTCAAAAACGAGTCAACTAAAGACGTAAATGAGTGTCTGATGAATGAAACATCCTTACAAACCTTGGAAGAAATTTAACTTGTGTTTCATGGGTGATCCAAACTCGTGAGTTTTATGGACCTATTCTGAGTAGAAATTAAGTTTATATACATTCAGTTATTTTACATTACTTATCACAGCTGACTCACAGCTAAGATAAGGAGGAAATCTTTGGAGTTGCCCTTCCTTAGCTATTTCTGTCTTACTTCAGGTTCCCCTTTCTTTGACAGAAGAGCCTCTTTTTCAGCAACTCAGTGACTAGTAATTCATATAGTTAAGTGAATATACTGACTTTAACTGTTAATCAACATTGGGTCCAAAGCAAGATCTAGGATACTTCAGTGCTTATTTTGGTAGGTTCTGTTGAAAAATGCTAGGTCTTTGTGATATCACCTGTTTTTATTAAGGCAACTTCTATGTGATTTAGAATAATCAGTAAATTATTCAGTTAATATTTTTGCTAGGGTTGGGGAAAAGGCAATTAAAACTGTGGAATGCTTCATGTTTTGCTAGGATCACTACTAAGTATTTGATAACAATATGTGCTTGTAGCTATCAGAATCTGAATAGTGGTTGGTTTATTTACTTTTTAATTTTTATGGTACATGGAGCAGGTCTTTCAAAATGGTACAAGATAGCTTCAGGTGCAGCTGTTAAAAAAATATATTAAAATTGTGAATCCTAATGACCTTATGAAAGACAGAAATCTGCAACTGATTATCTATACTGATGTGAATATAATTTTACTAGCATGCTGTGAATTTAAAAAGTTTTTCTGGTAAGTGTTTCACCTGTTAAAATGATCTAGAATACTTTCTTCTGTCTCTCCAGCTCGTTTCTCTCTCTTTCCTGCAGGCAAAACTACACGTAAATCATTCCAAAACAATTAATGCTGCTTTAGTCACAAATTATTGATTTTTCTGTTCATAGCAGTATGTAGAATTGCTGCTCTACTTAGATTCTAAAATGAAGCATTTTAATTGTGTTTTCCAGGAAGATATGAATTTAAATGAAGATAAAAAGGCACCATTGCGGGAAAAGGACTTCAGTATCAAAAAAGAAATGGTGATGCAGTACATTAATACTGCTTCTAAGACAGTAAGTAAAACTGTCAAGTTGAAAAATATTGCTGAAACATATCGTGGTATGGAAAACAATGTGCTTATCTAACGAAGTGCTTCAGTTTGTGGCCATCCTTAATCAGAGGGCTTTTCAATGTGAAATAAAAGACATAGGTATTATAATAAATCTGATTTAGAAATATTCCCATCTTTAAGACACTTCCCCCCACCCACCCCGAAGGTTAAAAAAAAAAAGAGAAAGAGAAGGAGAGGGACAGTTAAGACATGGTCACGCTGTAATCTTTCTCCTTCATCTCTCCCTCCTGATGGGATGATGGGATTTTGGACATGTATGCACATGCCTCCGGTTTCTCAGGCCACCATAACCTGGGTTCAAATCAGCAGTTGGCCATGTGCGATCTAATAACCTGAACATCAGGCCACAGAATTAGCCCAAGTTATGGCTTTTAAACTGTGTGTAGGTTCTTTGGTGTTTTTTTTTTTTTTTTTTTTTTGGTTTGTGTGTGTGTGTATGTGTTTTGTTTTATTTTTTAAAGTCAAGAGAATGGCTGAAAAACATACTTGAACATATCTTTCATTGTCTTTCACTATTAATGAGTTAAGATGATTATTGATTTCCTTGTATGTTTTCCTTTTTGGTTATTGATTTCTAATGTCACTTATAAACAGGAATCTTATTTGTATTATAGGAATGGGAGAATGATTTTACTCCAACTACCTAAAGTCAGGATACATGATAGTGGCGTAAAAGCATATCTTTAATATGAGTTTCTCTATTAAAAAAATTATCTTGTAACAAATTATAAATGTAAATATTGAAAGGAACATTAAGCCTCTACATGGCTGCCAATTTTCTAGGGAAACATGAAATATGTGGGTGAAAGTAATAACTAAATGTCTAAGAAACCATGACTGGCATAGACAATCAATTGGAACAACAAATGAGCTTGGTTAGTCATATTCAAGTTGTGACTAAATGCATTGAATGAAAAACATAAAAGGAAAGCCAATGAAGTGTTTTGTAGAAAGTAGACAATGATTTTGGCTGGACTTAAAATAGAAATGATTAGAAAAAGTAGCTTTACACACTAGTTTTCACCAGATACTTATAACCTAAGTCCATGGTACAAGAATATAAGTATTCATACTTTAACTTCATTTATCTACTAGACCAGTTAGTGACTATGAGGCATTTTGGAAGAAAGACTCAAGTGGTGTTTAATTTTTAAATGTGTCTCATGCTTTGGCAGCCTGACCTCCAGTTGCAGGAATCACTGTGAGTATTGTGCTTTTTCTAGCTCTTCTGTAGATGGACTTGCATCCTGTCAGTGTGATATTGTTACTAATTGCTTTTATCCCTTAATGATACTTAGATATCACTAATTCGCTTTAGGGGTTTAGGTGTCAGAGCCATGTTGTTTTAGATTTTCTTGTTCTTTGTTTGATGTTGAACATTTTATTTTACCTCTCTGGTTCTCAATTTCTTCAGTTATAAAATAGGAATGTCTACATCTAGGACTGTTATCAGAATTAAATGGTTTATTCCACTATTGGAGTATAACTATTTTATAGCTAGTGACTTCCTGGTAATACTAGTTATTGTGAGCCTAGTGGTTTCAGTAGCACTTATTTATTTTTCTTTGTGATTTGTTTATTTTTGCTTTGAAATCATTACACCATGATTAAATATATTGATGTACTTATCAATAAAAATGCAGATTTACTTTTGTGAGTTTATGTGTCTAAGGCATTCATTTGTTCTTTCAGCACATGTCTGTTAAATGTCAAATTGAGGCAGAGTTCTAAGCAATGGACATGGGATACCAAGATAATCTCTCACTGTGGCTGACCCTGTAGTGTAGTGGTTAAGCAATGTGCATTGGGAGCAGGCTCCTACATTGCCCATTGCACATTGAGTCCTGGCCGCAGAGGCTTGAAAAACACACTGGGCATGTGTACGTGTGTGAGTGTGTATGTGTGCGTGCATGACCAAAATCCCAATAGGAAGGTGAAGGGAGGGCCATGTGTAGTATGATCATGTCCCATTGGGGAATGTTTTCTCTCTTTTTATCTGTTGAGTACATGTGCTCTCTGGTAAAAAAACAAAACCAAAAACAACTCAAAAACAAAACAAAACAAACAAAAAAAACAAAAAACTTTTTAAGATTTCTTTTTACATTTTATTTATCATTGTGTCCTATGGAGCAGTGTGGGACATACATAACTAAAACACATAAACACATGTATGATGCATGTATATGTGTGACATGCTATGTGGGAAAAAGGTGGGGTGAGTAGAGATGTAATTTTATGTAAAGTAGTTAGAGGGGCCAACAGGTGGCATAGTGATTAAGGTGTTGGACTCACAAGTGATTGACCATGGTTTGAGTCCTGGACCTAGCAGCTTTAAGCTCATACTAGGTGCGTGTGTGTATATGTGTGCCCAAAATCCCAAAAAGAGAATGAAGGAGACAGAATTGTGGCATATGGGGGGTGATTTCTCACTTTCTATCTGTCTGTCTCTCTTTCCAGTGGGTACATGTACCTATAGCAAAAACAAACAAAACAAAACAAAACCAAACAAACCAAAAAAACTCAAAAAATAAAGTAGTTAGAGAAGACTACTATGTTAGGGAATTTTAAATATTGTAAGCAAGAATTCATTTAATATAATTACAAGAGATACTACAATATATCAGAATTGGTTAGGAAACTGATTCTTATTTATTTATTTTTTTTTGGAGAGGATTTTTGCTATAAGGCGTGTGCACTCGCCAGAAAGACAGACAGAGAGAGAGAAAGTGAGAAATAGCCCTCCCAGAGGATGGCCACATTGCAATCCCTTCTCCTCCATTCTCCTCTCGGAATCTTGAGCACACATGCACATGTTCCCGACGTGAGTTTAAGCACTAGGTCTAGGACTCGAACCGCATTTGACTACATGGGAGTTCAGTAACACAGCCATTATGCTAACTGCTGGTCCCTAGGAAACTGACGTTTTTTAATTCTTGACTTTGGGCTAATAAACAGACTTCTAAGTGAAAAATCAATCTTTTTAAATAGAGTTATAAAATTATACAAAATTATAAGGCATATCTTGAACATTATCTTTAAAATTCAGTATTTTGAAATTTTGAAAGTTGTTGGTAAACTGTCAAGGATTATGGAGTATGAGCTAAAATTTTTTGCTATATAAACTAAATGTTTGTGGAAAAATGTAAAAATAAATAAATGAAAGAGAAAAAAAAATAAATGATTAGGTGAGAGAGAGAGAGAGAGAGAGAGAGAGAGAGAGAAATATCCTGTACAAGAACTAGTCTCATTGTGATACCCTTCTTCTAGTCTTCAAACCCTCCAGCCCATTGGATCTTGGACACTTGATGTATGTGCTTGGCCTGCTTCAGGCTGACTGCGTGACGAGGTTGCCATGTGATCCAGCTTCTCTTGAGCAGGTCGTTACTGTTATGCAATGGAACCTGCCCAACAAACCTTTTGAACTTTGTTATAGTGGATCTGTTTCAGTTTACATTCACTGATTTTAAACTTTAAGCCTCTAATCATTTTGGACTAAGGTTGGAATTTATTTACTAGAATTAAGTAATTAAATGATCAGGATTGAAATGGATTAGTTCTTTAAAGTGTGATTACAGCATTGACTCATTTAATTAGTGCGTGAGGATCATGCCTTTTCCTAGGAGAGTTCTGAATAATTTGGCAGATAGTTAATATTATAGAAAGTTCAAGCTGACCAGTTATTTATTTTTACTTTGGTAGTAGAAAAGTGTTTTATTAGTTCTAGGGTATAGACTTTGTCATGCTGCTTTCTGTCTATCTGTCTGTATTTTTTTGGAGAGGTTTTTGCTATAGGGTGCATGCGCTTGCCAGAAAGACAGAGAGACAGAAAGCAAGAAATCACCCCCCAAGGGGGATGGCTACACTTCAATCCCTTCTCCATTCTCTTCCTGGGATCTTGGGCATGCACGCACATGTGCCTGGCATGAGTTGTAAGCCACCAGGTCCAAGACTTGAACCGTGGTCAATACATGGGACTTCAGTGACATAGCCATTACGCTAACTGCTGGTCCCTCATGCTGCTTTATTTACCTTAATGAACAGATCCGAAAATCATAGAAAGGTTGTTCTATAGAGGATTTGTGGAATTTGTGTCAAATATACTTTTATTATGTTTTTAGCCTTACAATTTGCCTGGAGATTTTCTTTTTTGAGAAAATATTAATATTGTTTCTTGGAAAATTATACTGATACCTGTAGTTAATGATTTAAAGCACTTCATTGATATTAACCCTGAGAGTGGGTCTAAAGTAGATAAAGTTGTTTTTTAGAACAGAAAGAAGAAAATGCCATCTCTTAGAGTAGGTTATTTATAAGACCTTAGTAAGTTTGAGTTTAGGTGGCCAAATAGAAAAACAAACTCTGCAGATATTAAAGAGTATTAAAATTTTATTAACTAGGTATCATATTTAGGACTGAAAATGCCATATGTGCATTTTTCTGATTTCCTAAGGTGCGGATGTGTGATCTAGGTTTGCCCAATCCAGTTTACAGTGTTTTCTGAGAAAGACTTCATTTCTCATTTAAGGATTCACAGGGAAGCGCCTTGTTCTTCTGCCATTGACATGGTTGTGAGAGGTTGTGAGAAATTTTACAGCACGATTTCATGGAGCTGCCACTCTGGCCCAGTACACTCATGTCTCTAGATTTTCCCATTATGTAAAATGATGCCTTTTCTTATTTACGCTGTTTCAAGTTGAGATTCTTCTTTGCTGCAAGTCTAAGTGCCTTGATGTACCATCCACATAAATTTGACCCTAGGTGAAAGCTATCTTAATATATTCTTGAAGTTACTGTTTCCATTCACAGGACATCTAAAAAGACCTCCCCTGTAGCCAGAATATGCTTGTTCAAAGCATAGATGAGATAGGAACCACAAGGCCCTGTGCCCATTCTCTGGTTAGGTTTGTTTAGCAGCAAGCATACTGGAGAAAATGACTTTCA